GTGATTATTATTTTACAGGCAAGAAAGTAAAAAAAATTAGAAATATAGTAATTGTATTAATTTGCAATTAGGATAACTAAATTACAGGTTTAACAGTGAGCATGACAATTCATAAGAAAATGATGTCTGATTTAGATATTAAGGTATTACAGATATGAAAATTAATAAAAGTTAGGCAAATGGGATATGAATTGATCGTCGTGGAAAGGGAAAAGTGCATTAAATTAAAACATTAACCTAAATTATCTGTCTTTTTGCCAACTTTGACATTATATATTATACTGTGTAAGAGTAGTCAGAAAAAGTGTGTAACAAGTAATAACTAATAAGGCTATGAACGAGTCGAGCTCGAGCTTCAACTTGAGTCATTTTGACGAGCTCGAGTCGAAGCCCATTTTGATTATTTGTTTCTAATTTATTTGTATTATATATTTTTGTAAAATTATTTATATTATAATAAAAAGATTACAAAATAAATAATGGACTGCATTTAATGTTTTTTTTTTCATTTTTATATGTACTTTTTATAACATTATATATATTATTTAAATTAAAAATAATGTATACAAAATTAAAAATAAAAATAAAAATCCAAACTTACAGATATATATGATATATCAATTTGAATTACAAGACTGGAAAAGTATGTTCATAAGTAAATGGCGCGCGTGTGTATATCACTTCAAATATATAGTCAATAAAATCATGAAATAGGACAACAATATTTAATAATAATTAATTATCATCACAAAGACTTGATAACAGAGATTGCCATATTAATAATAATGTGACAGTAAAGGGCTTGATCGTAATTAAGAGATAATTATCAAAATTAGAATTGACCTGGCACCATCACTAACCAGATCCAGTCACGTGCCACCTATAAAATGCACGTGTCCACGTTTCTGATGGGACAAAATGCCACCTTATTCTTCCTATTATATAAATTAAATCATGTAAATACATAAAATTCAACAATGGTGGCCTCCTTTTTTTTTCTTTTAAATATTATTTAGGTGTTCTCTTGTTGACTCCAGAACCCTAATTGGTGATTAATTAATTTAAGCAATTTAACTCATGATTTAAATATTTGTCAGGATTATTATATTTGTTTTTTACAATCACAAAAGCGGATCCTACTTTAATTATTAAAAGAAATAAAAATTAAAATAGGTATTTTGGGCCTGAGTGATGGGTTGGACCAATTTCAGCTTGTACAAATTACAATATAATTAAGCCTATCTGAGTCCATTGATTATATCTTAATGGACCTATTGACTTTGGTATTCGTACTTGTTTAGTTATATTTTATTGGGTAAATTTTATTTTCCTCAATTTACTTTGACTCGATATCACTTTACCCCTTATACTCTCAATTGTATAGATTTTCCCTCCTGTACTTGAAAAATTGTCTAAATGTAGTCATCGCCGTTAGTTTTTAGACCTTTGACCTTAACACTGTTTGATCTAAGTCTGAAAATGACAAAAAAAACATCCATCCTAGTTTAATTAATTATTAAAAAAATTAATATAATAAAAAATAAATTGTGGCTGACGTTTTTCTCGTTGTCTTGAATTTTTTATTATTATTTTCGTTTAAATTATGGCCATCACTAAGGTAATGTCAAATTACAAAAAGACCCCTACTTACATGTTTACCCTTATTGTGTCAAATTTACCAGTGAATGAGGGGTTTTCTCTCTTTAACTTAACTTTATTTCAGGGGTTGGCCGTAATTTATTTATTTAATTTTTTTTTCAATTTTTTCCAGTCGTCCACACCAAACATTATGTTGGATTTCGATATATCAAATTAATTTTCGTTTAAAGAAATTTGTTTAAATTTGGTCGGAGATATGAAATGAAAGAGAAATGAGAAAAAAAGGTGCATATTTCTATTTGAAGGGTTCACACACATTTCGTTCCCTTGGTTTCACACACAATTGATAAAAGGGGAACACAAACACAAAGCAGCTGAACAATTTTATGAGTGGGGTAAACTGCAAAACTAAAGGTAAAGTCAAGAATATTTATTCAATTTTCCAGCGTCTTCCTCGGAATAGTACCACATTTGGGGGACCCCTTTGCAATAATCACTAACCTTGAGACTTGTCTATATCAAAAACCAACCCCATCTTCTTTTTATTGCTCGCACATGTTTTTTTTCTTTCTAAAGCTACTTTGGGAGAATCCATCAATTTACAATCTCTCTCCATTATAGCAAAATGAATGAGACATTTTATTTCTTATAAATTTAAAAGAAAAGAAAAAAATGTTAGAGGTGTTTTTTCAGAGTCTCATTATTTTTTTATTGTGATAACAAATAGCTGATGATTCTGGTGGCGACAAGATCCTAGCACTTCAACCAGATACGTTTATTTTTCCAGACGTCGGGCAAATAGCTAAAATGGTTGAGCATGACGTGTTTTTTTTTTTTTTCTCGTAATTTTATGAAGATTTGAACATTTTTGGGAACTATTATTGTCTATTGGAAGGATGGATAAGAGGTGTTTGATTACATTTATGGATAAAAATAGGGAAGAAAAAGAAAATACAAAATCATTTAATAAATGGTATTTCAGATATTTTTTGGTGGAGAGCTAAATAATAATAAAATACTAATAATAGCAGCACGAGGGTAAAAAAGAAATTCATTGTTTACATATGCGCTTTGGCAGTCAATAGTTTGCAGAAATCTGAACTTTGTCAGGTTGCAATTTGGTGCAGGAAAAATACAATTAATTTAATAATGCATTAATTGAGAAACGTGTTTAAATTAATTTCAATCAACGCTCCTCGCAATTAGTACATGCAATTGTGTGATGTGGGAACACAATAATTATTGATTAGCTAATTAAATATGTGTGGACACATATTAATTCCTCATTTTGTTTACACATCAGTATATATATATATATATATTTAATTTAATTTATTTAAAATTTATATAATCATAAATAATTTAATTTATTAACTTTCATATATTAACAAAGACTATGAAATGGTCAAAAATGGGTCCAAAATACAAATAAAAAAGCACGGCCCACAATTAATGCTCTCAAATCACAGCTTTTCTCTTCTTTCATGCTAAATATTATGCTGTTTTAATTTGCCTTTTTTTTTTTATTAAATATATTCTCTGAATAAATTGAAGCTTCAAAACACTACTTCTTTACACACATATATATACCATCAGCTGTATAATCTGATCTGTTAATTAAATAAATAAAAAAAATTAAAGGATGGAACCACAAAACCCTAGTTCATCTTCCTTCAAAGCAGACAGAAAAACCATAGAAAAAAACAGGAGAAATCAAATGAAGGATCTCTACAACAAGCTCACTTCTCTCGTGCCTCGCCCAAACCCTAGGGTTAGTTAATTACCTTCATCAATTTTTCATTTTCAATTTCTGTAATTAATTTAATGTATGTGTTGTTTCGGATAACCGTGTTCGTATAGGAGTTAGTTTCGTTGCCGGATCAACTAGAAGGAGCAGCAAACTACATACAGAAGCTGCAGCATGACTTGGAGAAGATGAAGCAGAAGAAGAATTGTCTACTTATGGGAACAGTGTCCGCAAATTCGACTACTACTACTGCTACTACTACTACTACTACTAATAAATCGAGCATTTCGAATACTGATAATAATAATAATAATAATGGAGGGATTAATCTACCGGATATCGATGTTCGTGTAACGGGATCTGCCCTAGAAGTTGTGGTGATAACTGGACAAAACAGTCATTTCATGTTCAGCGAAATTATCCGAATGCTGCATGAAGAAGAAGGTGCTGAAGTAGTCAATGCCAGTTTTTCTATGCTCCAAGATTCCGTTTTCCACACTTTGCATTGCAAGGTATATATATAATTAATTACATTGTATAGTGTTACTATATATTTTTAGTAATTTCATGACCTAAGTTAGTTATGAAGTGAAATTATAATTAAACGCGATTTATTTTATTAAAATTTTTTTTTTTGCCAGATTGGAGAGTGTTTAGTGCAAGATTACGATGGTGCAGCTGCTGCGAGAATTTCCGAGAAACTGAGGAAGTTCGTGTACGAAGTTAATTAGTCAATAAACGACATCGATCTTATGCAAATTAAAAGTAATTAATTTATCTCCCTAATCAAATATAATTTGTGACTTCTGATTTCATTTCTTGAGTTTGAGATATATCAGTCAGTTTATATTTATGATCAATGCCAAGAATATCTGTGTAAGTACTCTCTTAATTAATTAAATCAAAACAAGTAAAAACTTAATTGGAAACACTGAATATATATATATATGGATTAATTAGGTTTCTGCATTATAAGATATATATAAAAAAAATAAAAAAAAAATAAAAAATTGTGAGAGAAGCTGGGAGACAGGCTAGATGGGAATTGTACAGACAGGTTGTAATAATAAATATATGAAAGGATAATTTGAGGAGATATATGAAATCAAATTGAATGGTCTGAAATTGAACAACATGAGTGTGTTAAAAGTGGTCACTATTTGCAGAACTCATACCCTCCACAAATTTCATTTTGCATATATCGTCCCCAAATTTGGTGACTTCTCCAATATGATCCACTTTAATTCCTTCCCCATGTGTTGGAAGATTTAGCAAGTAGCTTTTGTAATCAATAAACTTCTTTCTTTAATTTATTAAATGTATTATTTGGCTTAATTTTGAAAAAAAGAAGTAAATTATTATTAATAATAATTAATGGTTTAGTTTAAATGAGATTGGTATTGCATAAATTAATCCGTCTTATGTTGCTGAAAGCAATGAAAAATGAAGCATGTGAGAGTTTTACGCGCTAAAATAAATAAATGAAATTTTGTGTGGGTTTTCTTCAACACAAAGTTGTATCCTCTTTACCCCTTTATTATGAGAAATTAAGAACAATATATATCGAACAAATATTTTTTAAACAAAGAGATTCTTTCCTAGCTATAAGACCCATTTACTAGAAGGCTCGTCTTCGTAAACTGCGTAAACAAGGGATCGGATCATGGCGAGAGGGCAGGCGCACTTATTATTACAAAAGCATTTAATGCGTTAATGTTCGATGATAATCGGAAAACTGGAGAAAGCCATGATTCTGTCCCCCTAGGGCATGCCTAGGGGTATAGCTAAAACGTCGATTAGACGATTAGGTGATAATAATGGTCCGGATTATCACGAGACGTGCAAAAAGGCAGGCATAAAAGGCAATTTGAGTGGCGGTTCAGATTACCAACCCGATTTTTATGGCCCTTTGGAATTCGATGAAGGTAACTATAAATAGGGTTTTCCATCACACTCACAAAGGAGAGAGACTCATGTGCATGAAGAAACAATATCAACATTTTCAATTACTTCCAATACACTTGAAAACACGCATATCGATATCCAGCGACTCGACCGTCAGAGTGCTAATTCCGGCGTCATTGTAGCACCCCGCATTTCCGGTAAAATGATATTATTTTATTTTACCACCTTTATGTGCATATTTGTGAAATTAGAAATTATAATAATTCTTGCATGGTTAGTATTTACGTGAATTAGGTAATTATGTGAATTATGTGATTATGTGAATTATGTGATTATGTGAATTATGTAGTTATGTGAATTATGTGATTATGTGAATTATGTGCTTAGGAAATATTTCGAGATATTATTTCGAAATAAATTATTTTCATGAATTAGGATTTTATTCTTGCATATGAATTTAAATGAGCATTTCATCATATTTATGCATGCACAAAATTTTAGAAAATGAATTTTTATCATGCATTTTAGGATTTTTAATTAATGTCGAAAATTAGAAAATCCTCCCCACATTTTCTTGAATTTTCAGACATCACACACACACACACACATGATTTTTAAATTGCATATTAATTAGTATTAGACATGCATTGGTGTGGTTGTACTTTGAACATAGAAAGAAATACCTAAAAGCTAGCCCCTACTCTATAGCCTAGGTATACTTTTCCACTCCCACACACCACTTTAAGGCCAAAAGTCATTCTTTCTTCTTCCCCTCCCCTTCATTTTTTCGGCAGCCATACCACTACCACCATAGCCACCACCTTCTCAAGCTTGAACCACCCTAGAACCACCACCACCTCATACTTTCGAAAATTGCAAAATCACCCCCACAAAAAGATGTATTTTCCTTTCTTCTCCATTGGCTTTGAACTCTCCAAAAACTCTATAAATACATCCAATGCCCAAGATCAAAATACACTCTCCACTTCCAATCTCACTATCTACAAGTTTAAGGTCTCCTTATATTTCAACAAGAGGAGAATTTTCGGCCAAGCTTAGGAGTAAGCTTCTCATCCCTCTCTTCTTCCTTCTTCTTTTCCGAAAGAGCAAGGCTCTTCTTCCTCTAAAGTTCTTTTGTTTTTCTTCTTATTTTCTTAATGCCTAATCTAACTCTTAATCTCTTCTTGTATTAGAGAGAAAAGAGCTAACAAATCCTTCCCCTAAAGAGTATAGGTGAGAATTCTTGAATTCTTGCTCAAACCTACAACACCACTAGTATTTTCGATTTTTATGTGTTTTCATTGTTTATTCTTGCATATTATGTGATTATATGTTTTAAATGATGATTGCATGTTAGTGTTTTGAAAAGATAACTTTGTTCTTGAAGTTCTATGATTTTTCGAAAATTTGGGGAAAATGTTTTAAATGGCTTATTTGGCTTAATTAGTGCCTTGCATGTATCTAGTGTTTAATTGTTGATTTTTGAAAAGAAAATGAATTTTTGGCCTAGCCATGAAACTTTCGGATTTTTTGGGGAAAAATGCTTAAATTGCTTATTTGGCTTAATTAGTGTTTTGCATGTGTTAATCTAGTGTTTGATTATTGATTTGTCAAAAGAAATTGAAATTTTGACTTAGCTAAGGAACTTTCGAATTTTTGAGGAAAAATGCTTAAACTTGCTTATTTGGCTTATTTGGTATCTTGCATGTGTTGATCTTGTGTTGATTGTTGTTTTAAGACCTTGCATGTAAGATTGGTGATTTATTGTTAATCTAAGGTCTTGCATGTTAAGATCTAGTGATTGATGGTTGATCTAAAACCTTGCATGTTAAGATCTAGTGTTTTCTATGAAAAATGATTAAAGAACTAAGGATTTGTGCTAACTTGATTTAAAATACCCTTGCATGTGAAGATCTAGTGTATTTACTTGAATAAATGTAAAGATCGTCTTGAATTTTATTCTTGTAAAAATGCTAGATTTAGTGAACTTTGATGTTATATGGTCTTTGCATGTTAAGATGTCGGTTACTTTTATGTTTTTGTGGCTAAATGATTTTTGTGAAATTTTATGTGTATTTTCTATGTGCTCTTGCTTGCTTATGTGAATCATTGGGTGTAAGGATGAGAGAAGGGTAAGTAGAAGGGTGCATGGGTGGGTGCATTAGTGTCATGAATTTTTAAAAGATAAAACTATGTTGGAAAGTCTTTCGAGGTTACGGTAAATTTCTCGGGTACGGTGAGTCGGTACCGTAGGGCCTAGGGGTGGTTTGATCCCACGTAGATAGACATGATTCGATATATATGTGAGGTTATTTACCGGTAACTTAGATTGGCTCTTCCGAGGGATTCCCGACAATTTTTCATGTCATGCATGTTGCATTATGGTGTTGATGATATAGGTGGGAAAATCTCACTCTATGGTCTTGGGATCGTAGGGTTATAAAGGTGGGAAATTCCTTCTATAATCTTCAATACATGTCATGGCATAGGGTTATAAAGGTGGGATGTTCTCACTCTATGGTCTTGAGATCATAGGGTTATAAAAGTGGGAATTATCTCACTCTATGCGTGTGGCAATTATGTGAATGAAGAACGCCGACGAAAAAAGGAAGTATATGATTGTTTTACTTTATGTTGCATGTTCATGTATAAGATATATGTATGTATATATGTATAGATATATGTATGCTCTATGTGCTATGTGTATTCGATAATACTTCAAGATTCTCATTGAGTCCTCAAAGGCTCATATAGGTGTTGTATGTTTGTAGGTATACCCGATTTAGGGCCCGAGGAGTGAAGTTGGGAATCGAGCTCGAGAATCGGAAGGAGATCGTATGGAGGGGTTGTGGATGGTGTTGGCTCTTAACTTAGTCATGTGGTTTTATTTGTATAATATGCTTGTAAAAACTTTTGATACGGTTTTAGGTATTTTCTACCGTTCGCTTCCTCCGATCGGTGGAATTATTAAAAGACGATATGTGTAATAGTAATTAGGATTACCCTATTTTGGATAATTAATCGGTAATCCGTAGTCTTTTGTAAGCGAAAGCAAATTTTCACTATTTATATGCATGCATGCTTTCGGCTAGTAATTTCTTCGTGTTTTGTCTCCATGTTCTAAAATTATTTTCATATAGGTGCTCTGATGAGAAAATCATGAAATTTTAGGAGTCTCTGCATCTCTGTGTTCTCATCATTTTGATAGGTCTTGTGCATGATTTGGGTAAGTATTCATTTAGTTATGATTTATTTCTCACTACTGCATTGAAACAGGGCCATTCGGTTGTTTTCTGGTCTAACTGGAGTTTTACTCACTCAAATGCCTTGTTTCCACTTGGAAAATGTTTTAAACTTATCTTTCTGCCTTGGGGTAAAATTTGGTAGTTTTTGGGTCAGTGAGGAATTTATTATGAATTTTCAAAATCCCCTCCCCTGTTCTAGATTTTTTAAACCGAGTGACTGTGCCATTTTATTTATTTCTCCTAAATGGCCATGCATCCTTCAAAACTGTTTTAACTGAGTGATCTAGACCCGTGTTAGATGGTATGGTGTTAATTTGGGGTCATTTGCATGAGTAGTTTAAGATGAATTAATTTTTAAAGCTTCTGCATTGAATCTGTCCGCATTTGCATTAAGTCCATCATGCCTAGTTGTTTCCTAGTCTTGCATGTAGCATGCATTGGTGTTAATTGACCGATTAGGGTTTAGTAAGTTGTGCCCTCTCTCCCTCTGATTTAAAAAGGAAAATTTTCACGTAAATTTATGTCCAAAAATCATGTTTTCAAAAGTCTTCCGCTAAAATTACATATAATAATAGTAATCGAGAGAGGGATGTCACAGTCATCCCGATTTTTTTCTTTTTGTGAAGACCGACCTCCGTTTTTCAAAATCTTCCGTAGCCCGTCAAAGAACACACAGTATACCCGTTTTTGGAGATGGATCACAATATAAAAATGTGGGTTTTTTTTTTCATAGGGATTTCTTGTTTCTCATAAAAAAATGTATGGACCAAACGACGAGCCCAAATATGAAATATCCACACCATATAGTTACTTCAAGGACTTTTACAAAAAAGCCCATTATACACCAAAAGCCCACTAAAGATAAAATAGTCAACAACACACGAATTTGGGAACAAATACAACTGGTCCTTTATCCCTTTTATGTAAAGGAAATTAGGGTTTTTCTTCTCCCCCTCTCACAAAACCAAGCAACAGTAATTCAGATCACAGCAGAAGGATAAAACATGGTAGGTTTCGAAGTCGGCTCGGTGCCATTCAATCCCGATGGCTGGGGTCCGCCGGATTCCGCCGCCGCCACGCTCTCCCTCCCCAATCAGCCATCCAACGTCCCCTTCGCCCCGTTCTCCCGCTCCGAGAAGATCGGCCGCATCGCCGACTGGACCAGGAACTTCTCCAATCAGGGGAGGCCCGGTTCCAAGCACGGCGCTCACCACCAATCCGATTCCGCCTTCGATTTCTCCGGCGACGACTCCTTCGCAAGCCTAGCCGCCGACGATGACTCCTCGTTCCGCCTCGTGGACACCTCCGCCAAATCTCACCACCACAACCCTAACCGCCCCAAATTCAACCCTAGGTGGAGGTTCAACTCCTACAACAACGCCCGCTCTCAGCTCCCGCAGCGCCGCGACGAGGAGGTCGAGGCCAAAAAGCGCGACGCCGAGAAGGAGCGCGCCCGCCGCGACAGGATGTACAACAACCGCTCGCAGATGCCCCAGCGCCGCGAATCTTCTGTTTTCAAGTCCTCCGTCGACATTCAGCCTGAATGGAATATGCTGGATCAGATTCCATTCTCCACCTTTTCGAAACTATCCTTTTCGGTTCCCGAACCAGAAGATCTGCTTATCTGCGGAGGGCTCGAGTTCTACGACAGGGCTTACGATCGGATTACACCGAAGAACTGCCGTCCACTGGAGCGTTTCAAGAACCGGAATTTCTTCAAAGTCACAACCACTGACGACCCCGTTATTCGTCGTTTGGCGAATGAGGATAAAGCCACAGTCTTTGCCACAGATTCAATTTTGTCGACTCTAATGTGCGCCTCTAGATCCGTTTACTCATGGGACATTGTGGTTCAGCGCGTGGGGAACAAGTTGTTCTTCGATAAGCGAGACGGGTCCCAATTGGATTTGCTCGCTGTCCACGAGACTTCACAGGAGCCTTTGCCTGATCTTAAGGACGACATTAACTCTATACACTCGTTGAGCGTCGAAGCTGCTTACATTAACCAGAACTTTTCGCAGCAGGTTTTGATTAGGGATGGTAACAAAGTCACCTTTGACGAGTCCAACCCGTTTGCTAGTGAAGGAGAGGAGGTTGCCCCAGTTGGCTATCGTTATAGAAGGTGGAAATTGGATAATGAAATGTATCTCGTCTCACGGTGTGAAGTGCAGAGTGTGGTGGATATTAATAACCAGAGGTCGTTTTTGACGCTCAATGCTTTGAACGAGTTCGATTCCAAGTATTCCGGCGTCGACTGGAGGCAGAAGCTGGAGACACAACGAGGTGCTGTATTGGCAACTGAATTGAAGAACAACGCGAATAAGTTGGCGAAATGGACCGCACAGGCTCTCTTGGCCGGAGCTGATATGATGAAGCTGGGATATGTTTCTAGGGTTCACCCAAGGGATCATTTCAATCATGTGATATTGGCTGTTGTGGGGTACAAGCCGAAGGATTTTGCCACACAGATCAATCTCAACACTTCTAATATGTGGGGTATAGTGAAGAGTATTGTGGACTTGTGCATGAAATTGGATGAAGGAAAGTATGTGCTTGTTAAGGATCCAACGAAGCCGCAGGTGAGAATATATGATGTCCCACAGGATGCATTTGATAATGATTACGTGGAAGAGCCTTTGCCGGAGGATGAACAGGCTCAGCCTCCTGCTGAGGATGTAGATGGTGAGCTGGCAAATGCGATAACAAACGATGTTGAAGCCAAGGAGATAATAGAAGAAGTTGCTTAAGGGGTATTAATCTATCACTTGTGCTTTTATTTATTTTATTTATGCTGATCTTTATGCAATGATAATGGTGAAATAGTTAGCTTTTTGAAGAAGTGTTTATCTGTGTAGTGCTTGTCGTGTATGTTTAGTTCTTGAAAATTCTTTAGTTATGATATAATGTGGTAATCATATATATTTCAATTTTCTGCACCAGATGTAGTACAGAGATGATTTAGTTTCCGTGCCTCGAGTATTTTGTTGCAGAGTTTTGCGATGCTGCTATTTTGCAAAAGCTGAAAGTGAATGTGTATGAAAAATAGACATGTTATCTCATTTTATGGATTATATGTACAACCTACACATGCTTTTCTTATTTCACATCAAAGTATATACATAGAAAAGATACACAATTCTTTTCATTCTTCATGTTCTTCCCATTGCATAACTTGGTTCATTATTGCTTAAAATAGAATTTCGGATTATATTTTTGCATTGTTTTCCTTTGCCCTATATCCAGTTCTGGTTTGCTAGTTCGGTGTTGCTGCTAAGTACTATTGTGCTTGTTCTGAATTCTACCAATCAATATCTGCATAGCAATACCAATAAGAGGTTATAACCTCTATTGTCTTGATCAGCATAGGCAAGCAAGTTAGAGTAGTTCTCTTGGTTATGCTGCTAATATTCTTTAATTTCGTGATCGTAGTGCTGATTTTACTTCATTCTATCTTCTACTATGTGAAAGTTGCCGTATCTGAATGAATCTTTTAAAACCATATATGGGATGCATAATTTCTTTTAGTCGTCTTCTTTTGCTAATTCGCTTAACTGGTTCTGCGTCCATTCAAATCTTGCAACGGCATCGATGCACCTATGCCTACTATGTCTGAAATTTTGTATTTATAATTGAAGTTTTTCTTTTTCAGGCTACAAGTTTTAGGAGTATCTTCAGCTTTCGTTTTTGCCCTTTTGAGACGTGGGAGAAGAGGAACAAGAGAAAGCCGAGCCGAATCTTTTAACTGTTTCTTTTTCTTTGGTATTTATCCTCATATACTCCTCTACTTAAATCTTTGATAGCTGTAAACATATTGTCTCTTCTCAGGATTTAATCCTCCACTGTGGGATATGAGGTTTCTTAGGTTTTTACCTGCCTTGATGTTATGTTGTTGGATTGAAAATTTTGACTTTATTGTCTCTATTTTGACTTTGAGATGTTTTGCTTATGTTAATGTTGAGATTTCAGCTTTGTTTCATACAAAGGTTTATTTATTCCATCTATGCAGAATGTGGGTGAGTTTTCAAAATTTCGGTTCTCCCTCAGACAAGTACACCTTCCAAATAAATTCGAACTTCCCGATTCCTCGTCGAATAACACTGTAACAGTGGCTCCAATACCACTTGAACCAATTCTTGGCTCTAGGGTTTTTTTTTTTTTTTTTTTTTTTGTTCTTGATTTGTCAATAAAAAAGAAAATAAAAACCAGGTCCTCAAAATGCAACTGTTTGTTGAACTATATTAACAACCCACAGATAGAAAACAAATTGCAAGTTGGTTTTTTTTGGGGGCTCATAGTTTTAGGAAGAAAATATGATGATCAAAGGAAAGACAAGAAAAACCATGAGCTGGCAAGCACCATGTTTTCTCAACCACCTTCTCATGCCTTAAATTCTTTGCAGCTACAATTTCTCCCTTAAATAGTTCAGCTACATTTATTTTTCTTCTACCAAAAAAAAAAGAAAAAGGAAAATCAGCTCTTAAAATATTAGAAATGGCTTCTCTTGTTCTTCTCGTATCCGAGCTTCTCCGCCATGAAAACGTTGACAGCCTCATATCATCATCATCGTCTTCTACTTCTACCGCCGCCGGTGCACCACCGTCTGCCGCCTCCAGAGTGGCGGCAAGCAAGACACCAAGAAGAATTTTGCCGGCGAGATGCAAAAACGGCACCCAGGATCAACTTCAAGAAGAATTACCCAGGATCTGTGTTGACTTAGTTTGGCCCTAATACTATATACTATTTTTTGATCTCCATTTGAAAATTGCGGATTCATGTCTTTAATTCTACTTTTGGATTTTATGTTTAATTCGTATACTATAGACTATAATAGTAAACAGGTTGTATTTTGCTCAGCTGCTGTTAATTTTATTTCACATTTTGATTAACCACTAGTAACCGTAACCCGTGCGTTGCACGGGTACCATTATAAAACAAAAGATATTTAAAACTTAATATGTTGAATATAATGAAATTCAATAATTGAAAATACATCACACCATAAGAAAATCGTAAAAATAAACCATAAAAAAATATTTAAAACTGAATATATTAAATATAATGAAATTAAATAATTGAGAATACACCACGCCATAAGAAAACCGTACAAAGATGGATAAATAATACTAAGAACTTGATTAATACAATTAACTATAGTTTTAACGATTGGCCAATCAAACCTAAGGCTCTATAGCTTGTCGAAGTACAAAAACATATCGTCACTTGCCATTTCTTGCTTCGTTGTTTCTCAATCCTCAAGAGTCAAGATTGATATGTGCAGAAGTTATGACAAAGTGAACAAAACCATGTAGTAGATATGAGAAGAGTCATAAAGTATTGATAGTGTGCTTGTATGAAAACGTAAGTAAACTATCAATATAGGAGCTATAAAAACGACCAATAGATCGGTATCGGTATCGGTAAAAACAAAAAAAATCAATTTTTACAGCTCACAAATTTACCTATCCAATGTTCTCAGAAAAAGTATCCGGAAAAATACCAAAATGGTATTTCCATAAGTCAAGTCTTCATAGGAGCATTATAGGCTTTAACAGTCTATCTATCAACTAAAATCACCACACAATTAAACCAAGCAATATCAACCCGAAAACCTTCTAGGGCTTCCCGAACTGAGGTAGTGCCGCTTCAAAAACAGGTTACGCCTTTTCCCATGTAACTATGTCTCCAAGATATTTCTCTAGTCTTTGGAAAATAAAATGAGGATATTTTCTTCTTCAATATCAACACAAATCAAGTTTTACATGTACATAAAGTTATTGTTTATATGCACTTAAAAGTTAGGACCATGATAATGATAGAAACTCTTCAAAAAAAATATACATGATAGAATATGTAACATAATTTGCAATTAAAAATTATTTCCAGATTCCACGTACAACCAATCTATATTTATATATGTGGCTTGATTAAATCACATAAGTTGTTGAAGGAATCACATAAAAATTATAACTATCGGGATTAAATCCATACACAAATTCAGGATGGTGTTCGAGTCCAGACCATGGTCCGAAGAGATATTAGACGAATTCAATTTCATATTGCTATTGCCATCTGATAATTCTTCTCTTAAATTCTTTAATCGATAATTCAAATCCGCCAGCCCCGAATGCATAACCTTGAATATCAGATTCTACACGGCACATAACGAATTCACAGAGAGAGCAATCTCTAGCTAATGAAAAAAAAAAAACAAATCTCTAAAAAGACAAAAAACTTACCCCCTAGCAAAAATTGCATTTCATCATCATGATCACGAAACAGATAACGGGGAAAAAAGTTGTCTTTATAGAAGATTTATATAAACAACCTTAGTTGCAAAATCTGGCAAACAATGAGGAAAGAAAAAACAATCAAATGTTGATGTAAAATTTTATATGATAAAACCAAATTAAAGTAACAGGTTATAAAAATATCTTGAATTTCGAGGTGTCTTCCAATGTTAAAAGAAACTTATTCTAAGCGCTGACCTCAAAATATTTTTAAAGTCATCTTCATAGAGCGGGATCCCGTTCATGTGACGTTTCCTGTCTTCATCTAATAACCAATTACGTACTCTTCATCTTTGCTTCCATAATTTATCAAAGGTACTACAAATGACAGAACCTACCAGAGTAAGATTGAAAATTAAATATATAGTCCTTAAATATTCAGTAGATGTAGTGAAAAAAAGGAGAAAAAACCCTTAAATGCTCACTCATTTTTGTCCGATGAGAAAGCTTCTTTCGTCACGCAATCCCACTCGTGAAATCACTTGATTTTCCAAATTCTCTATCACCAAAATTGTGGGGTCATATATAAACTTGTGCACATGATCAGGGAGCCTCTGTATTTTCAATTATCTCATTATCGTAATTCTTAATTTATAGGAAACATTTCCCATCATTTTCGTCTCATATTCTTCATCATGTGTCTACAACAAACAAATGGGGTTAAAAGGCGTTTATGAATTTCTAGCAGATTACGGATGAAAAAATCTATTCCTAAATCGTTGTATAAGATTCTTATCATCTTATATCCCTGTGACTGTGAAAACCTGCCAACACGCCGATTTCTGCTTTGAATAGAATGTCTCAACCAAAAAAATCCATGGTCGCGTGCATTCTCCAAATTTGTGACAAATATCAAATACCATAATATCGTTAAGAAATATCTTGAATTGAAAACAGTTGTTTACAATTATCTTTAATTACCTTCAACGAAATTACCAACTTATGAAGACTTGGCCCCGGAGACTGCATCAATTTGGTTTGGGAAATCC